AAAAATGTATAGATTTATAATTATTGTCAGTTGTTTTCCTAATTTGAAATTGGGTACCAGAAGTTCTGTTTCTTCGTGGTTATGATATGGCTGAATTCAATAAGTTATTAACTTAAGCTCTGCAAATAAGGTGATACTTTCACAGTTATTATTATTTAATAATTATGTCACGTTTTAGATTGTATATGTATTTGTATCATGTCATACATGTATATGTGAGGCTATTCACGCAAAACCTCTCAGGCTCCCCGCGCGAGTGATAAAAGTCACTGTTTTCATCTCATTTTCTCCGCCTTATTCCTATCCTAAAAACAAGTTGTAAATAGCACCTTTAATGTATTTTTTAGTCAGCTTTCCGATGGTGGGGTTAGATTTTCAAAAAAAATGTATGTCCACTGAAAAGAAACATATAATATGCTTTATCTCGAAAAAGGCATTTTTAATATCTTTTTTGATAGGCTAGGTAGAAAGCTAAGGTTTTTTTACTTTAAAAACGTCTTTTTCCACAGTGTGCTCTCACTGAAAAACTCGAATAAAAAAATACCAAAGAGTGGACGTTCGGCCGTCTGAACGCGCGCTAAGGCCAAGTGGGCAGCCTAGCTGTGTCCAAGTTAGCTAATGTTATTAGTTTTGTAACATTTAATTATTTATTTAACAATGAAGTATGCTTATACGTTATAACTTAATATGGTACTGTATAATTAAAATAGAATCTTTAATTTTTTATATGATTTTCAGGTAGAATTGAAAGATCCGTCTGAGCATCAAACGTATTTTAGTTCTTAATTCATTACAACTGCCTTGCATACTTTAATTTATTCAACTTGCTGTAGATGACGCACTAGTCAAAATCATAAACTCACTCTTAACTTGGAAAGCAGGATTCCTTCGATAAGCCATCGTACAAAGGCATTCATACTTGATTGTTTTGAAAAGGTCAATCTAACACATTAAGTGACTGTAACAATCATTTATTCACAATGTCTAAAAGATGTACAAATCCTTTAAAACTTATTGATTATTTATCTTCTAAAGATTTAATTTTTTTCCCAAACTCTATGATGAATATTTATCCGTTTATGTTAGAAAACTAAAAAAATCTACGTAAAATATCGTCGTTTAGTTTATAAATGGAAATCTGGTTCAGGTAATGATGATGGAAGAAATTTGAAATTTGAATTTGGGAATAATTATAACAAAGAAGCAGTTGTAATTTTCGAGAAAATGAAAAAAAAGTTTACAGAGTTTACATAGAAGCAAGAGAGAATGCGGTTACTCACTCTTGCTCCTGATTTTTGGAGACATAATAATTTGATGAGAGAGTTTGGTTGCAGTGAGAGAGAAGCTCGAGCAACGAGAATATTAGAAGAAAAAAATACCACCTAAACGAAAAGGCAACTCTCTTTTAGAAGAACTGATAGTTTCTGTTAAGAATTTTCATAAAAGAGACGATATAAGTCGATTAATGCCAGGTATGAAAGATTTTACATCTGTGAAGCAGAAAAACGGTGAACGAAAACATATTTAGAAAATGTTACCGCTTGGAAACATTAACGAAATTTATTGCTTATTTTAAAACTTAAGTTCATCACACTGCATTTTAGCTGGAACTAGTGGTACATTTAATGTATGTGTATGCGTATATCATGAAAATTTTAAACTAATTCTTGAACCTATAGATTTGGAACATTGAACGCAGAATACTGAACTGCCTCTTAAAAACTTCTACGACTGTATTAAAGCAGTAGTGTGCAGTAACTCTATTGAAAAATGTTCCTTAGGTGCAGAATGTCTAGATTGTCCCAATATGATAACGTTACGTCCACATCTTATTGAATGTTTTGAAAAATATAAGATTTTTGGAATCCAATATGAATCGTGATCTTAAACAGACAGATGTACCATTGCTACACAAACTTTGAATTCTCATGATTTCGTTGACTTACTAGGAGAAAAATTTTAAAAACTCAAAACTCATGATTTTGCTACGAAACTATCACTTTTTAATTAATCAATTGGAAAAAAATTTAAAAGTAGAGAATTTATTTTAACTTGTTATTTTTCGGAAAATTATGCGTTTTTTATACAGAAATCAACTCAATCTTTTCATTGAAACCATAACCAAGCTTCTATTTTTACAGTTGTAATTTACTACAAATAAAAAAAATGAGTTTAAACTTAAAAGTATTGCTGTTATTTCCGATAACTTATATCATTATACAATTGCCGTATATGAGTATCAAAAAGTTGTAATGAATTATTTGAAATCCAAGTTTGTAGTAAAGAAATTTTTTTACATAACTGATGAGGCCAGTCAACATTTCAAAAATAAGAGCAATTTTAGAAATTTTTTTTTTCACAAAAAAGATTTTGAAATTGGTTGTTAATGGCATTTTTCTGCTACTGCTTATGGAAAGGGAGCGTGCGACGGTATTGGAGCCAACTTGAAGAGAGGTGCAAGAAACGTACACGTCTTCAAGTTTCCTCTTATAACTGAATTTTAACAGCAGAAAACTTGTACGACTTGGCAAAGATTTATTGCAAGGAAACAAAAGTTCTTTATTTTAGTAAAGAGTCGTATAAAAATTGTAAAATCAAACTTAAATCTCAATTTGATAAAGCAGAATTAATACCAGGTACTTTACAATTCATGCTTTTTTCGAGATATAGCATATTTTATGTTTCTTTCAGTGAAAATAAAGATTCTTCAAAAAACTAACCACACCATTAAAAAGCTGACTGAAAAATATATCAAAAATGATATTTGCAACATTTTTTAGGATAGGCCTGGGACGTTTCACGTGAAACACCCCATGTAAGAAATAATGAACGTTACGTTGTTCTAAAATAATAGTAACACAAAAAAAATTAATGCACCGACAACTTTATACTTATTAATGAATTAAACTAACTTTATAATTATTATATTACAGTATATTATTCATTAATATTACTACATTATTAGGCATAAGTTATATTTATCATCAATATGTATAAAGTCCATCTATTTGCCTCCTTGGTAGTTTGAAAAAATAGATAAAAACTATTTTTTTTACTTTTTCCAAAAAAAATGGTGTGGGGAACTATAGGGGGACAAGAAAAATGACGTTGGGGGCTGTAAAGAGGCTGTGGGGGGGTCCAGAAAAAAAATAAAAATGTTAAATTAAAAGTAAACACTGTCAAATTTTAGCTTATATGTGGTGGGCCTGTTAGGGGAGGGGCTGTTGTAGGTGGCTGTGAGGGGATATGTGGAATGTCCCAAACGAATGACTACATAATATAGGGAGATATATTTGTATGTTTATTTTCTCTATCTCCAAATCTGGCTAATAACTAAAGCTCTATCGTTATGCCGAGTCCCATACGAGAACTACTTGATCATCTAGTATACGTTTCTTATAGGCAGAACTTTAAGAGTTAGTCCTCTTGTTACCTTGTTGAATGACCTTGTAGCCAACTCTGAAGTACTACAGGGCTTGCACATTAGTTTTCTGTTATATACATAGGTCATAAACAGCTTTTCTTCAGCATTCTTAACTAAATTATCTTGTCTTATCTACGTGGATGACATGAAAAATTTGAAGCGTATTTCTTAAAACTCAGATTCTCTATTTCTACAGTCCGATCTCTTAAATATGCACTTTTGGTGCTCTAACAGCAGATTATTCGTTCCTAAAGACAAGTGCAAGGTTTTATTACCTTACATCTGAGTTTATTCATAAATAATTTGAGCCTCTAACTTCGTAAGAATTGTTGTACGCGCTGTACTTGGCAACATACTTTTGTTTTTGAATTTGTAACTATGTCTGTGGCTTATTTATTCTAGGAATAAATGAATGAGTAAAAGCATTTATTAATGTTAGAATAGCAGCTACTTAAAAAAATGATTTAGAATATTTTTTAAAAATTATTGAATTAAATAAATCGTTGAGTATTGCGATATATTACGTAACCAAATTATTAAAAAAAAAAATATGTAAATATTTGAATTGAAAATAAGTTACCAACCATTGTATAAGACAAACGGAGAAATTTTTTTAAATTATGAAAACTTACAATAGAACTGACATAAAGCTCTCAGCTTGTGTGTAGGTCATCGGTTCCAATCCTTTTTTTTTTTTTTTTTTTTTTTTTTTTTTTTTTTTTTTTTTTTTCTTAGCACAATTGATGAAAGAAAAAGACATGTAAGCTATTGTGGTGAAGTGGCGCGTGGCATGGCTTGGTGTACTGGAGCGAGGTGAGGTAGCTGGAGAGTGACATAAACAGAAAAATTACTTTCAAAACATATTTTTTAAGGTCACACTTCTATAACCGTTGAAGGTGTTAACTTGGTGCCCACGTAACATATTTATAGATTCTCTGTATTCTTGTATCTTCTACTTGTATAGGCCTTATGTTTTACTTTCAGGCCTTAATAGTTAACTTTAGAATACTTATTATTAAATTTATAGCAGAGATATCTAACACCTTCTGTTCTCCTACTTTGCATGAAGAAAAACTTAGTTAGAGATGGTAAGCACCATTGCTGGAGTTTTGTTGTGACACATGTCGTTATACAAAATAGCTTTTAGCGACGGTACAGTTATAGATGAACGGAAACGTTGAAAAAAAAGTTGACGAAAGATATAAGCAGTTATAGGCAGTACGACCTAAACGTAGGCTGCAGATGCGAAAAACTGTTAGTTGTTTTCAGAACTGTGTTCATTACTTGTACAGAAAAATATTTTAACTCCTACATTAAATTTTGTTACACCTATCTCAATTATATAATCCTATTACTCAAAATTGATTGTTTTTTAGTATAATCTCAACAAAATTTTAATATGCTTGGCACAACCTAAAGGTAGATTGAAACGAATGTTTCACTTATGGAAAGATTATTAGATTTCTATATTTTTCAAAAATTGTAAGTTATCTCATTATCTTGTTTTTGCTGATCTTAAAAAGATATTTAGTAATTATTTTTTTGTTATTTCCATTAATAAAATAAAATTAAATACCGTTAGAAGAAGATGATGTGGTTTGAATACATTTATCATGCTCTGACGACGAAGGTTTAGCATTCAATTCAATAATCTTTTTTGGTTTGCGTTTGCGCGTTTGTATGCCATCTTTTCGCATAGCTAATGGTCGATTCACCCCGTGCAGCTTAAAGTAGAGACCACAGGCATTACAGACAGTTTCACCCTCATTGTTACGTCTCCAAAGAGTTGTAGTACGTGTGCCACAATTCGTGCAGCAAAGCCCAAGTCGCCGTGTCGCCGTCTGAAATTCAGATAACTGTTCCATTTGCTTACGCGTATTTCTAATAAAAAATTGAAATAAAGATTAGCGTTTTCTTAATCGCAGACAATTATCATTTGTTCTCCCTTCTTAGACTTAAAATAATAATTATAAAATTTTATAAAATACTATAGTTAATTATTTAAAATGTAAGATTTCCGATGGTATCAGTCTAGTCATTTAAAACTACTTATTCTAGGATGTCATGAGGGATCTTTAAAAAGTATAAGAAATTTAAACTTATGCAAAGAAAAGTACTGACGAACCATTAAAAATCAAGAATCAGTACATAGTGACAAAGTTGGAGATCTTTAGAGGAGATGTGATGAATTTTAAATCATGATTTTCAGTTTTACTAGTACTAATAGAAATTTTGCTACAGTCTCATATTTTGTAAGAAGATATATTAACAGCCAGAATCCTTTGACTCTTTCACTTGTTCTTAGATATGAGATCGTCTTGCTACTATATTTCTTCTTACATCATTTTTTTTGTTAACTCTCGGTACAAGTATTTTTCTTAGTACTCAAAGAATGTTACTCTAATATTAGGCAAATTTCTTTACACACTCACTCTGTAAGAGTTACTCATGTGAGAAGTATCTCTTTTATAAGAGTCTACTTTTAATAATGCAATTTACTAGGATGTTTTAAAGACAGTTTGCCCAGAAAAAAATTTTTAAATTCATAATAACGTCACGTGAGCAGAAAAGCACATTATACAGCATTTCCAAAGCCTTGATACATTTTTAGTGAGCCTCCTTGGGAGTTCTTTTAATGCAACGGTGAATTTTTATGTCTTGAGAATTAATTTTTATATCTTGAGAATCAATCAAACGTATCTTTTAAGTATGGCTTACTCAAATGAAATAAAAAAACTCAATTAAGTGTTTCAAAAGATTAGTATGTAAATAAGTCCATTGTACTTAGTCAAAAGAATGAGCTAATTTATAGAAAGTAAGATATTAAACTTACCAATCGCTTAGTTGGCTTAATAAGAGGTCGATTCATGCCATTAATTTTGTGGTAAAGTCCACAAGCATTACATAGATAATGACCAGTACCATCTCGACGCCATAAAGGAGTAGAAATAGCTCCACAATTTACACACTCACGACCCTCACTAAATTGAAAGTCCATCGTCGAATCTAAAAAGAAATCAAAAGTACTTGGAAGATTATTAAAATAAAACTAGAAGATTCTGTGACTAATGTTAATGTTTTAACTATTATTTTTTGTACGAAAATTGTTTATTTTTATTTAAGAAGATACTTAGTCAGTATGGCATAATTGTATCAAAGTATTAGTGCAATATTTAGTAAAAATTTACATAAAACGATTTTTTGGCGTACCCCGCATAATTAAAATCCCAAGGTTTTTTTTTTTTTAATCCTACCAGTAGATTTATGGAACATCTTATTACCTTTATGTACACATTATATAGTATTAAAAAATGTACTTACGATTTAACAATATTCTTATAGTTTTTTATTTATTTGCTTACTTGACACTATCATATGAAGTCTCACTTCTTATTTTCATAGCCTAAGACACGTAAACATGAATTTTCAAGCTTGCAAAAATTACATTTTGTTGTTTTTTTAATTTTTTACGGGGTGCTATGTACACTAGTATTTAAGCTAAATAAGTTTGAGGGAAGGACTAACTTTAAACTTTCGAATTAAACAGAACTTAACTTTGATTTTGCTTACGAAGAAGTTGATGATTTACACTCATAGCATACAAACAAATTAATCATTAAGAAAGTACGATTACATAAATTATTATTACTCTAGAGATCACTAAAGGAGGCCTCATTTTTCCTCAATTTTATGGCGGAAGCTTTTTCAATACATTTTAACGTATATTGCTACAAGAGTTATCATTTACATTAACGTACAACATTTAAAAAATTTTGGACAGTCAGGTAAAATAAGATTCATTGATCGTTTTGTCATATTAATGGTTCAATACTTTTTTTAACAATTAATTGATTTGCTTTACAAATCTTAAGTAGTTATGTAAAATGTTTTCTACACAACAAATCATTGTAACTACTTGAGAGTTGTTGGAGCTAAATCTTTCACAAAAGGTTCAATCATCTTGGAGTCTAGGTGAAGACCATTAACCTTAACAAACATACCTTAGTATTTTATCTCAGTTTCGCAGAAATTATTTTTTCGTGTTTTAGGAAAGGTTTGGCAGTTTGTATTCTTAGCCAATATTTCAGCCACTTAAGGTATTTCTTGGGTTTCTCAGTTACAACAATTAACTACCACACTAAAAACTGTCGGGTGATGAAGTGGCCAAAATTCCAGTAACCTATATCTTTTTAGAAACAATTTCCTAAGTGATAAAATATCTTATATTGCCTGGCGAGCCTACATTTTTTTGATATCATTGAAAAGCTCATAATTTAATTTTTATTTATCTGATAAGATTAAATGGCCTTTAATAAGAAAGCATATTAAGTATTAATTTTTCAATTTATTCGTTTTGAAATAATTGCGTACCAATGTTGTTCAAAATTTTTTTAAATAATTCAGTTGACATTTACTTGTAATTTCCAAAAGTTTTATTCATACTTAAAGTATTTACATTTTTTGGTAAGTAACCTTCAATTCTAGACAAATAACGCAATTTATGAGCCACTGATAGAAGCTAAATGATTTTGTTATACTGATTATTAAATGGGTTAACTAAATCCAACCTATACCATAAAGTATAAAGGCTTTTATCTATTTAGGCTTATCCAACAAGGGATTTGGCAATGGAAGCGGCTTTAGTTTATAATGTATATCCTAAGCTCGTCTTAACTTGCGTGGATTACGCCCACGTAAAACAATGGGTAGACCTAGTAGCCTATGAAGGCTTCCTTTTCAATAACCTACATGGACCAAAAAAGTCCCATCCTTCTAATGAATCGTTGCTGTTTATTCGGTGCAAAATAAATCATTGCTGTTCTAGCCTATCTACAAGTGGAGGCTTCCAGGATCTTGAATTTCAACATCTTATCAACCTTTGCATAGGTATCATCTTTACAATTTTGAAACACTTTGCAACTCCTTGTTCGTTGATTTCCTCTCCTACTGTTCTCACGAAAATATGCAAGCCACGTTATTGTAATTACACATTCACTCATACCTACATACACTCACACACGTGCGCACCCGGATGTATGTACAACACTAATGATGTGATTACAAAAATGATCTGATATTATGCACATTTGAAATAAATTCCAATTAAAATAGTCTATATCGTACCTAGGCCAGAAAGCAGGGCAATAACTGACTTAACTATATTATCGGCTGAGTCAAAGGTAGGGCCGGTAATGTGCGATAAATAGTAGCTCCATTTTCTGGCCGTAGTACGTTTACTTTTTTTCCTTCCACCTCCACTAAATGTTCGTCACCACGGTTTTTATTTTATTGAAAATAAACATATAATGAGTCAGTTACCTATGCATTTTTATTTATCGATGAATTACCCGAATAATGCTACTCAAATGGACGTAGACAAATTTACACGTATATTGGTATGCTACAAGTTAACCTATCTATAGCACTTGTACATTAAGTAACAGACCTGAGTGGTGGTGTCCGCACGCATTATTTCACACTTAAATCGGCGTGCAGGTTAGACGTGCAGGATGTGCTGTCAAAGCAAGAGGAAGAGTAACCTGAAAAATTAGCTCTTCTTGTTGACGTCGAAGGATTTTCGTTGCTTATCCTTGTTCTGTTTTTTTTATTGTATCGGTGTACGTTTCCTTATCCGTCAATACATAATGTAATATACGTGTACATGAGTATCTAAACACATTAAAAGCAATGTGGAAATCATAAAAGTTTTATGAATACGCCGGTACATACTCACGTACATCAAAGGAGCAATGTCAGTGTGTAGCATTTTCGGACTAAAATTGACACAATTTAAAGCAAGAGTGGATGTAATTAGAGGGCTCGATCTGTCTCGTAACCTTAAGTATGTCTACGACTTTTGTAAAACTATTCCGATATATTTTTTCCTCCTGAATGTAAATTTTTTGGTCTGAAGTCCGACAAATGGCCCGTTTTTTGTTGTAAAAAGTTTACATCGACAATAACAAAATAAGTTGTTTATTGACAGAAAAAAAAAAAATCTGAATCCTTAGCACATTGTGAACAAAAACCCAATGCAAAAGTATATACATAAGCCCCATTGATTTTGCGTAAAAAATTCCTGAAGTTTGAAAAAATGTGTTTTTTCACAATTTTTGATCGCGTCTTACACAACCGCTACTGCATTTTACTGGTTTGTACAGAAATTTGCCTATTTCAGTTTCGATATATTTTTGTCTCCTGAATCTTCATTTGTTCGTCCAAAGTCCGAGAATCATCACATTAATTATTATAAACAATATCAGAATAATCGATTTTCCTAACTTTTAAAAAACCTTTTTTTGCAGTAATTTATGGAAAATTTGACGCTAGAATAAATGGTAGGGTCTATTTAAAAAAAGAGTTAAGGTGAGTGGTGAAAAATCTATTTTTTAATAAAAACGCGCTTATAAGTGTTTCACTGTAGTTTTCAAGCATTATTAATATATTAATAGAAAAGCTGACAAAATTTATCGTTAAAAGCCATATTTATAATTATTCTTACACCAATAAAAAGTGGGTAAATGAAAAACAGTGTTTTGTCTAAAGTAAGGGATTAGTGGTTCCTATGCCAGGAACTAGGCAGAGATTGCCAGCTTGACTGGCGAGAAGTGGTTCATATAATATAGGTCTTCTCTTTGGATAGGACTTGGATTTGATGAATAAGAAACAAGTTGGATAAATTAAAATTATAATTTTAGAAGATTAATTTTGTCAAATTCTACCAGTTGTGAAAAACAACAATAAAAGTGTCTTTACCAAACAAATAATGAAATTAATGACTCATCGACTTTTATTTTTGGTAACAAAATTGAGTATTTTTTTATTTTTTGTTGACAATTTATTTGTTATGTTACTATTAGAAACATAAGAAAAACTAGTTAACAGTTAGTGCTAAGGTACCCAGGTAAGTAAGTAGTCATACTTGTCTAAAACTATATGACAGATAATATAGTTATATACATAAATATACCTTATATAAAACAATACTGTGTACAAAGATAGTGCAATTATCGTTGGCATGAGTACACCTACGTTAGTTAAGTGTTGTTTCAATAAATATTCTAATATTTAATAACAAAACAATTACAAACAATACATATATAATAACACAATACAATACAAACGATATGGAGACTGGCCAGTACAAGACTCTGCAGTTTCATCGAATCTTTCGATAGTTTCAAAACAACTTCCACATGCCTACGCTGATGATATCCGTAACATCACGCTAACGTTCATCACATATTAATAACATTTTTCAATAGCACACTAGTACATGCCACTGAATGTCCCTTCAGGACGTTCAACCCTCAGAGGTTTTTTTAACAGATATTATTCAAGCATTAAAAGTACTCTAATAATACCATTAAAAAAAACCCAACAAAAGTCGCAGCTTATTTTATTGTACCTTTTTTCACACCTTTAATTTAAAAAATTTCAAGTTTAACATGTAACCTTACGGAAAAATCACTTAAAATTCCAAATATAAGATATGTATAAGCCCCCTAATTTTTGTTTATATGAAATATTATTTTTAGATAAACGTGTTTTATTTTCAAACAAATCTATAATATTGCATTCTCTTTTTTTCAATGACACAAAAAACAAGGGGTCAAGTATGCATTAAAGCTTATGTGTAAGTTCATCCGTATAACAAAAATCATTACTAGCGTTGTTGCATATAGTTGCGCTCCTCCCGCCTCTCTGAATTTTGTTCTCAATCACAAAGTAAAAATTGTGAAAGAAGAAAACGTTATTTAAATCAATTATTGTATTCATACAGTACCAAACTTTTTTTTTAAATAATAATTCCGAAAAAAATATGAGAAAACGGTATAAACAATAATTTATTCATTTTAAAAGTACTAAATAGTTGCATGTTTAATAAAACACATGCAAGCTGCTCTGCTTATATGTATACTTATTTCTAAATTTAAAAAAAAAACGTGTAACAAAAAAATTTATTTTATCAAATAACTTATTTATTTTATGTAAAATGAGACCAA